TTAAACAAAAAACTCCTAAAAATGACAAAAACACACAACATAATTACTAAACCTTTTAACCAAAATGAAAATAAAAATGGAAAATATAAAAATAAAAACTGTTTCAATATATAACAAACTAATAGTATCTCTAATAAATCTCTAATAGTATCTCTATAAATAACACAGATTATAATGTATAAGAAATAAATGTTATATATATATATTTTTTTGTATTTTAATTTAGATTAGAATTTAATATGTCTGAAATATTTGATTTGTCTTGTGGCCCTCTTGGAAGCTTGCTGAGGTGTTTTCATTATCAGTTAACGGTCATAAACTATTTAAATAAAACCCGATAAGCATATGTCAGTCAGTATTTGTCCACATGTAAACACTTGACACGTGTCCCACCTTCTGTCCCTCAGTTTGTGGAAGACTACGAGCCCACGAAAGCTGACAGCTACAGGAAGAAGGTGGTTCTGGACGGCGAGGAGGTGCAGATAGATATTCTGGACACGGCCGGTCAGGAGGATTATGCAGCTATCCGGGATAACTACTTCCGCAGCGGCGAGGGCTTCCTCTGCGTCTTCTCCATCACAGAATTAGAGTCTTTTGCAGCGACTGCTGATTTCAGGTGATTTACAGCGCTGAGCTTATTTAGAGGAGCTGCATTGATTTTAGACTGTTACTCTTTAATTGATGATCTTGTTTATGGCCTGATCTGTTTTGTCTGATTGTATTAGGGTTGGCCACACTGGTCAGTTATGGTAGTTGTCCATCGAGTGACTAGTCTACTAGTTCATCTTTATTTATTTTTTTTGTAATGGTTCTTTAATTAGATGTTTAATGGCAAAACTGTTTAAACGCCAAACACATTATTTTTGCAAAGGCATTCTTATTAATTTTTTTTGAATGCTTTTGTGTAAATATTGAGTTGTAGGTGCCACATAAACACTTAACGACACTCTCTCGCTCAGAGAGCAGATTCTGCGGGTGAAGGAAGACGAGAACGTCCCCTTCCTGCTGGTGGGGAATAAGTCGGATCTGGAGGACAGGAGACAGGTGAGCGCAGACGAGGCCAAAGCCAGAGCGGATCAGTGGGGCGTGTGCTACGTGGAGACGTCTGCTAAAACCCGCGCCAATGTAGACAAGGTGAGAACTACAAAACCAGATCTGTAAACCTGAATTGATAGTTTACTAGTGTATAGGGAGGCAGTTACTGTGTGAATGCTACTGAAACTACATCCTGCACGCTCACAAGTGATATTACTGATGCATTCTTAACCTACTTTTCAGGCTAGAATTACTATACATTTAAAACAATTTATTATTAAAGAAAAACTTCACCCAAAAATGAAAGTTTGCTGAAAATCTACTCACCCTCAGGCCATCAGAGATTAGGATGAGTTTGTTTCTTCATCAGGTTTGTAGAAATGCAGCAAGAATCGTGTTTTAGTTAAAAACGTCTTAATGCTGGATTTGTTTCAGCTTTTGTCTTCTCCAGATGTTAACTGATGGACTGGAGTGCTGTGGATTACTTGTGGATTATTGTGATGTTTTTATCAGACTCTCATTCTGACGGCACCCATTCACTGCAGAGCATCCATTGCTGAGACACTGATGCAGTGCTACATTTCTCCAAATCTGATGAAGATAAAAAGACATCCTAATCTCGGATGGCCTGAGGGTGAGTAGATTTTCAGCAAATATTCATTTTTGGGTGAACTATTCCTTTAAGTGTAATCAACATGAAGCAACATGAAAACAGTATTGTGCACGATTCATCAGTGCACAGTATTTTAAGCTAAAAAGTGGACTGTAATGTTTAATCAAAGTCTAAACTTGTTCTTCCCATAAAACAACCTTCCATGTTGGCTAACGTCGCAAATCCATCTTACTCTCGTTAAATATTCTTTCACTGAGATGTAAAATGGGTTGTAAAGAGTGTTTCATATTGACTTCAAATTCTTTTTTTTTTGATAATGCAAGCAATTTGGAATTTAATTAAAGTGATACATTTTCCAAGATGGTATACTGTGTTGATTGCAGGTTTTCTTTGACCTCATGAGGGAAATTCGCGCTCGGAAGATGGAGGAGAGCAAGGAAAAGAACGGAAAGAAGAAGAGAAAAAGTCTGGCCAAACGAATCCGCGAAAGATGCTGCATTTTATAGTGTCTGCGATCATTTACTCTCCTCCTCCTGCATATGTAGCTGTATGTTCTATATGTTTGCCAGCTAATCCTCACCTCGATGTTTGCTGGTGTTTGTGTGTCAGATTAGATGAAGGACAGTCTGATAGAGTTGATGCAGTAGAGTCACATCAGTAATGTTGTCCAAAAGCACAGGACGCTGCTGGACTTGCGTATGAAAACTTCCTGTGCAAGACATATGAGAGCTTTTTGATTTTATTTTGTGTCAGGTTTGTTTAATGAATTCTGTTCTCTTTTACTTTTTTTAATGGCCACGTGTCTACCTGGATTTAACATCAGTCTCGGGTGATCCGATCTCAAATAGACAACACTAAATACAGCTGTTTTGTCCGATTTTTTTATGTTTTTGTCTCTTCTGCTCACCGAGGCTGCATTTATTTGATCAAAAATACAGTATAAACAGTGAAATATTATTGTAATTTCAAACGGCTGTTTTCTGTGTGAATCTCTGATAAACTAATGTATTCCTGTGATGCGCAGCTGTATTTTCAGCATCATTACTCCAGTCTTCAGTGTCACATGATCTTCAGAAATCATTCTAATATGCTGATTTGCTGCTCAAGAAACATTTCTGATTATTATCAATGTTGAAAACAGTTGTGCTGCACAATATTTTTGTGGAAACTGATACAATTTATTTTTCAGGATTCACAGATGAATACAAAATTGAAAAGAACAGCATTTATTTGAAACTGAAATCTTTTGTAACATTATAAATGTCTTTACTGTCACTTTTGATCAGTTTAATGCATCCTTGATGAACAAAATTATTAATTTCTTTAAAAAAAAACTTACTGTAACTTACTAAATCAAGGGTTTTAATTTATATTTGGATCACCTGAAAAGGATGTTAATACCGGTGTAAAAAAGCAGGGTCTCTGGCCTGAAAGCTAAAATGAGCGTGTGTTATTACTTTAATGTTAGATGACTTCATTTACTTAAATTACATAACTCTTCATTGACTTGAGGGGAAACTGAAAATACATGAGCAGAGCTAAAAAAAAAAAAAAGACAAGCTTTATTGTTAAAAACAAAAAAAACGGTGTCAATTTATTTGTTGGTCTGTGGCTAAGCAATTAGTAATTGTTATGCATAAAAAGTGCAGTACACTAACAAGCGATGAGATCTATGTTACACCAGTAACCAGTTACAGGTTTGTTTGTCTTTTAATCACTTAATATTCCAAGCAACGAGTCGGAAGCAGTGGGTGAAGGGGAGGTTGCTCTGGCTGCAGCGGTTTAGTGTGCTTGACTTCCTGATGCCTTGATGTCCTTTGTGAATGTGACACTCTGCCGTGCGCACTGAGCTGCACACTCTAGTGTCTGGCTGTTTCAGAATCAGGCTGCTAGAAGAACAGGACACAGGTGTCCTCGATGGACGTCAGCCGCATGAGATTTGCATCCTTACTGTTGGATGAAGACACAGCCGTTTGATGGCGCAGCAAGTACGATGACAATCTTATGCTTCTCAGATGTGATGTGAAAATCCAAAACCTATCGATTTGGACTGCTTGTGCGCTCCTGCCCCACAGTTCCAGTCTTAACCAGAGAAATGCATTGTCATTTTAATGTGTATCTATCCAGTGACTCTTTGTTTTTTTCATTCTGCTTTTTTATATATGTATTGTTAATGTGAAAGCTTATTTCAGCCATTTCAAAGAAATACATTTTTCTAATTTAAATGTGCTTTATTATTCACAAGAATGTTATTTGTATTCAGTACTAACTTTTATTCCCATTATACCTCTGTATTGTAGGAAAGCCCATTTCTGCCATACACACACACACACACACACAGTGTGTGTGAGTGTGTGTGAGTGTGTGTGTGTGAGTGTGTGTGAGAGTGTGTGTCAGCATGGGCTGTGCATGCCGAGAACTTGTGTGCACTTTAAAGGGAAGGTTTTTCTGTTAAAAATACACAATGTGAAATATACAGAATATATAGCTAATTTTCAGTTGTCTGTATTTCAAGGTTTGTTTTATATTTGAACCTAAATTGTAAAGTATAACTGCATTTAAGTTCACTTTTTTTCTTTAAATCCTGGCAAAAGGGGCATTTCCAACTGCAAAGGTAATAATAAAAATGAAAACATTATTTGTGCTTTGTTAACAGTTTATGGTCCAGTTTGCTTTGGTGTTATTGTCAGTAACAGGCCTTATTAAAACACAAAATGGTAATCACAGTATAATTGGCCGTGAGAAAGAAAGTCTAAATTAAATGATTTGAATAAATAATAAATCACAACATTATTTGTGCTCTTATAATAATTTTTGGTCCCGCAGAACTGAGGTCAGGTTATTTTGAACCCTTATGAAATATGAATTGGTAACCTAGAAATATCATAGTTAATACAGTTAGTTTTATCTGTAAATATGCAGTAATTAGGCATTAGTCATTATTGTCAAAATAAAATGTAATTTCTCTAAATTAAAGAATTTAAATCAACTCTAAATGTAAAAAAATAATGAAATGTTATCTAATTTCTGTCTTTAAAGTTTTAATTTTAGATTTGTTTGATTTTGTTTCCTTTTATTATGGTCTGTTACTTGTTTTCTCTATACGTGTTATGTTCCCCCATATTAATTATTAACCTGGGTGTGATGTTTAGTTAATTATTAACTATTATTAATGCTCATTAAAATCATATCCTGTAGTTGTGCATTGACTTATTTACTGATCTTGATCTGCAAAACTTTTTTCCCTTTTTTTTTTTTTTTTAATTAAAAAATCCCTTTATTGCGTAGTGAGCGGCAAGTTTTGCCTTTTCCCCTAATCAGCAAATGTTGAGTAACTTTCCAGGTTTTACTTCAATTACAACATACATGCACCCTTTTATGCAGCAGCAGATCAGCCAAAGGTCAGTCTGCAGATAAGACCTGAAGAAAAGCACTCGTTTTCCTAGAGTTTGATCCTATTGATGAAAACTAACAAACATGCAATGAACGAGAGCAACCTCCGCCACTGCGCCTTCATTTCTCAACTGTTGCATGGCATACAAAGTCTCACATGTGCAAAAGGAGACGCATGGTGGCGCCCTCTGCTGCCTGCGGCATGTGTTTGCAAGATTTAGGAGTTAATAAATGCCACTGCTAGAGCAAATCTACTCTGATTGCAGGCCTCAGAGAGCAAAGGCCTATTGCCGGCAGGAGTGCGCATGATTCGCTACTTTTGTTTTTGTACTTTGAAAGATTTCAGCTTTAATGTAGCCCCATACCCATCTTAGTATTTAAATAGAGATTTTATTTATATACAAAATGACACCTAAGTCCAACTCTGTGGACTAAACGGAATTTATGATTTTCTGTAGAGTGTTGAATCTGCCGAGCTGAACTCCGCGCTGACCAACATGCGCGCTACTTCCTTGTTAGTGAGTCGGTGTGAGAGGGCGACAAGAAGTTTCAGCCCCGCGTAAGTATGTGTGGATTTAGCTAACGTTTTCGATGAAATCTCCCCTTTGGAAAGCTCACCTCGCCGTTTTTACCTCCTCACCGGGGCGACAGCGCTATCCGAGCCATGGAGGCGGATTTAAAGGCGGTTGTGAGGCTGATTTGCTAAGTTAGCACAGGCTAGCTAACACTGTCTCTTCATCATATGCGCGGAACTGGATTACAACTCGAGGCTTTTATTGACTTCTCCGAGGCTCTTTCAGGAGTTATCCGATCGACGTGCGTTGTGACGGTTGGATGCGGCGGATTCGGTGTGATCCGGTTGGGAACGGTCGCGGTGTGAACACACAGACGCTTAGCCGAGCTAGACTAGCGCTTAAAGTGGGCTTCAAATGTTTTGCTTTGTTTGCCGGGGACTGAAGCGTGAGCGATAAAAGTGGGATCTTAAATGCCGAACACGGAGATCGTTCCCCGCGAGGGCCGGGGGAGAAGCCCGCCGCCGCAGAGGAGTCCGAGGGAGGCGAGACGGAGCAAGAGCCGCCGCGAGCGGCACCGGGAGAAGCGCCGGTCCTCCTCCTCCTCCTCCCGGAGAAAGAAGCACAAGCACGGCCGGGAGAAGCAGCAGCAGTCGTGGCAACAGCAGGAGGTGCTTTACGACGGGGATGTTCGGACATTAGTGGAGTACGACGACGTGAGCTCGCAGTCCGAGCGCTTCTCCGGTAGCCCGTCGCCCAGAACCGGCACGCCGTCCGTGGACCGGCTGAGCGAAGCCGAGCTCCAGGACTTCAGCTACGGCGGCGCTTCCACGCCGGGCAGCAGGGAGCACAACTCGTCCTCACGGAGGAAGGACGGAACCGGCGGGTCGGCGGAGAAGGGACGCCAGGAGAAGGAGACGAAGAGGAACCGGTCCAGCCCCGCGTTCAAGTCCCGCAGCGGCGTGAGGAATCACGACAGCAACGGCAGGAAGCCTTCGTCCGCGACCCAAACCGACAAAAAGGAGTCGAAGCGACACAAAAGCAAGTCCAAATCCGAGAAGGACCCTCCTTCTGCCTATAGGGAACCGCCGCAGGCTTACAGGGACGACCGGGAGGAGCTCAGGCCCTACTGGAGGAGCAGTCCGAGCTTCAAAGCAGCGGAGAGTCCCTACGGGGCGTCTTATTCCTACGGACACCAGTCTCCTAACACAAACTTCCCGTTTATTTCCAGGAGGAGCCCCAAGAGGCTCTCACCGAGCTCGACCTACTACGGTCGCGATTCAGAGGTGCACGGTGCCTATAACGTGTCGAAGTCGCCGAGTGGTAAGAGGAAGCGCTCCCCGAGCAGCCCGTGCTGGCGCCGGTCTCCGAGCTACGGCCGACACAGTCCCTGCGAGCAGAGCGAGGTCACCTGCAGCCCGTACGGCCAGCGCAGGCGCTCCCGGAGCCCCAGTCCGGACGGCAGGTGAGGCGTTGTCACGCTTATACGCGCGTTTAAAGCGGTCGCCGTGTGCTCTTGTGTACCGAGAGAGACTAATTGTAGGTTACGCGTGGGTTAGCGACTATACTGGAGTTGTAAATGGTGTATAATTGGATGATATTGGGAGGAGTACAACATGTGACTCGATTAGTTTTGAGTCGGTTCACACAACCGCTGTGAACGAATCAATCCGAGCGGTTCTCAGTTGTCGAATCGAGCCGAGAATCGACGAGTTGAAGTGAACCGAGTATTTGACCGAATGGCGAGTTTGAACAGAGAACCGACTCTTTTGATTGTTTCGATAATCAAAAGAGTCGGTTCTCTGTTCAAACTCGCCATTTATCGGTCAAACTCTCGATTCACGGCTTGTTTTGATAACTAAAAGAGTCGGTTCTCTGTTCAAATTTGTCACATCAGTCAAATAATCGGTTCACTTTAATTTATCGATTGTCGGCTTGTTTCAATAAAGTGAACCGATTATTTGACTGATGTGACAAATTTGAACAGAGAACCGACT